CACTACGGAGTACATGGTCGAATCCTTGAAAACATCCCCCTCCCAGGGCCACGGTTGTCTCACCATGTGGTGAATAGACAAATGCTTGCCTTTGTACTACTGTCCCCCAGTGGAGCGCCAGTGAGCTTGGCATGGCATCTGGCCAATTGGCTTTCCCATCTGCTGCGTCCTCAATTTCCAATAGCGCGGTTGAAACTCCCAGACCAGCCTGTGTCATCTAAGTATGCAAAGGCCTTGCTGTTGCAGCATTACTGCATACATCCGCAAATAGTATCTTTCAATCAACGCTGGTGCAAGCAAGAAGGAGCCGCAAACGTGGCATGTTGTACGAAAAAGTGACAAAGGCAACCTGATAACCCGCCGGAATAACCATCGGAATACGCAGTAGAGATGCCATGTCGGACGCCACAGACCGTGAATCGGAGCAACCAAGCTCCTGCATATGCACAATTTATGATCAAAATCAATCAACTCCCGGGCGCCCAATTCCCTCCCCCACCCCATCCCCTCTTTGATTATCTCTTTTCTAGTTGTATGCATTTTTTTTTTTTTTCCATCCTTCTTCATTCTTACCTCTTCTGTTGATTATTCGCCAAGTGCGTCAGACCTGCGTTAGCCACTTGAATTAACAGTTCTTCTCATCCGTGGAATTGTGGTGGTCAAACTACTATGATACTAGTTATGGCCATTTTCTTCCTGCAACAGCAGGTCAAAGGATACATACATCATATCTTGCATGAAGCTGAATCGTGTTTGCGCAAGATGTTCCAGCTCCAAGCAGGTGGATTCAGCCTACTCAGTAGTACGCTGACTGATTTTTCGCCCCTGCAACCCCCCGTTTGCTTTTCTATGGATTGGTTGTTCTGGCGGGGGATTTTCTCAATAGTAGTGGCAGCTGCCACGCCCAATCTCCTGAGGCGACACCGTAATGGGCGTCATGTGGCTCATACCTGTGTCCCTCTTGAGAAAGGATCAAAATCAAATTCTAGATGATGCTTAGAGGACATATAGGTCGTGGAAACAGGGCTGGACTGGCGAGGGGTTGGAAATGAAAACAGGGAGAAGCAAATCCCGACCCGTCGATGTGCCGAACTCTATATAATAATTCTTTGCCTTTGTGCGGCCAGCTGGATTGCCTCATTGTCCGGTATGTAAGCTACCTTTCGTAACTAACCAACCCAACACCTCATTCATCTTACTTTCCCACTCAGTCGAAGCATGTGTCAAGGTGTTATTGCCTAACCATCCTTTCTTTTCGAGTCAAGCACTGGCGCCCAGTTAACATTCTTGAATCGCTCCGCTTTCCTCTTCGTTTTTTTACATAGTTGTACGAGAGTTTCTGATCAGGGTTCAATATTTCGACCCTCCATCGAACAGCTTTGGTTTCGAGTGGCTAAAAAGGGTATTTAGCAAACTGATAAACCTGACTCTCTTTCATTATCGGCAAACCATTGCGCAATGTTTCAAACTCATCTTGCTACCCCGCCTGACAACGTCCAACCTGATGGTTCTGGATAGAATCGTTGTACTGTACAACACTATGCCCTCGAAAGGTCACTCTCGTGACTAGATCGGCAAACAATATATTTGACCGGAATCCTTTCTTCGCCTTTGGTCTAAGTGAATCTTCGTCTTTGCAATGCTTAAATGCAAGGGAAGCCTCTATGGAGAACTTAACAACCTTGTCATCAATCACACGCGTCTCTCTCCGCCACTTCCTAACTATTTTCGGCCCAAGACTACCGCGCGGTCCTTCGATCGGTGAACCGTTCGTGTTCCTATCTCAGAGAATTTCATGGTTAGAATCCATTGCCTTGGCCAACTTGACAAAGGACAGCCACAAATGAGCTTTCTCACTGACAGCACCTCCATTCCAGTACGAAAGCCAGGTGCCTTTTTGTACGTAATGGCCGCGCGTCATCATGGAGCAAATACCACGAGACTCTATCTCAACTGGCTGGAATTGTCGGTCTAAAGAATCCCAGCTTGAGCTCGAAGAGCAGTTAGAACTTATGATTCAAGACCTGTGGCCGCGGTAAACATCGGCCCGGTTCAACTGGTGGCTTGATATTTGGTGGCTGTATTCTTCGTCCGATTGCTGCTTTGGCCCTTTCAAGACTTTACTAGACTTCCATTTGTTGTTGATTGGGGACTTGCAGCCATCAGAAGTCGAAGTTCCTGAGCTATCATTCAACCAGCTACACATGGGGTCGACCAAATGCGCCCTTCTCACTATAATGTATACAAATTTTCATACCCTAATTTCCCCTCAACCAATTTGCATAAGTTCAAGATCATATGAATCCAGGAGAAGAGGTTTACCTTCTGAAATCGAAGCAAACGTGGTACTATCTTTTCCAGTTGTATGCAGAGCAGAGGATCCTCTCTTTCACGGATTGTAAACAAGTCGTCGGGCCATAGCTCTTCCGAGCTGAAATCCAAGACGAAATACAAAGTCATCACCGCTTATATTTAGTAGAAGCAAATCACCAATGACCATAGGAAATTCCATGGTTGCGCAAATGACTGGGCTGGTCTCGCAAACTCTGGCCTCCCAGCAGCGGCAACATGAGATTTGTCGAGAGTACATCCTTCTAGAGCTCCACACAACTTCTATTCCAAACTATGCTCCTGGGCGTTGTTGATCATAAGCCAGCCAATGATAGATATCAAGGCCCAGCCACTCCCCTACCACCTTGCCCTCAATCAGATAGCCATGCACAATTCACATATGGCAATGAAGGGATCCATCGCTCATGCGTTACTTTCAAACCGCAAATGTGGCCAGTGAGGTTGTGTAAAATGATAGCCACCATGTGGAATTGTAAGTGGTAGTAGTCTTGACTAAATAGGCCAGAGACTTGTCTAGGTGATGCATACCAATTTGTGAACATAGATATTTATCCTGAAAGCGCGCTTTAAAAACATAGCCATATATATATGACTTCCGGTAAACTGTTAACAGCCCCTGCAAACCCAACACCAGAAGAGAGGTGGGATCCGTGCAAAAAGGAAACTAGTATGCACGTCTAATGTCTATGGGTGGTGGTAGAAATTAGGTGAGATCCCCCCTGATAACTAGAGGGGGAAAGTCACCATCATTCCAAAGGGCAGAACGTTACATTTTTGGCGCAGCGAGGTCCGCGCTAGCTCCGAACATTCAATGAGAATAGAAATGGTAATCACCACTTGGGAAATGAGTTGGTTTATACAGTGCAGGGTTGCACAAACTGCGTTTCAGGGTTCAATTAGCCTTAGATAAGCTCCCGGATGATGGCGGGTCACATTGAAGCTGCCCATGTTTCTCCTGATAGAAGGTAAATGGGCAACTAGAGAGAAAGAATGAGGCCATATTTTGTCCGGGCGATGGGGGGTCTTCCAGGATACGGAAATAGATTATCAGATGGAAATTCCTAAATGAAAAGAAAGGTGCATCTGAACAGAAGGCGCCTGGAAACAATTCTCCAGGAATGGGAAAACTATTTTCGTATATAAAAAAAATTTTTTTTTCACGTTTTTTATACGCAGGCTTGGTGGAAATTGAAGCAAACCCGTCTCAGTTCTGAGCAGATAAATCTCCAAACAAAAAAAAATTAGATGGTCTTCCGAACATATATGCTTCTCACGTTTGCGGGTATTCTCATCTGCTTTTGTGCTCAGTCCTTCACCCTGAGCCCAGATGGAACAGACTCTTCAAATTTAGATATTGCCTCAAGTAAGCTGCGAAGTGTCAGGCGTGGTATTAGATACAACAAAATGGCGCATAGTTATTATATATACAAATGAAATGAAGTTGCTTGTATGCAAAGCTAAAAACTCGATGTCCATCAAGCGCTTCGTCCCCTAAGGAGTCCTTCAGGTTAAAACTCTGCAGTTAAATACTCGACCGGCACCTCGGGTAGCTTATCGTATCCATCCAGAAGAATAACCCCCATCCCTCCTGACAAATGCGTCTGAATATGGCAGTGTAGTAGGAAAGCTCCCGGGTTCGTCACTTGATACCGAATAACCACCCAGGACGGATCTTGAGCTGTTCCAGGGGGTGATGTAAAGCCATCAGCCAATGGTGGCGTTTCCAAGTTGAAGAACTGAGGAACCTCTTTGATGGCATCGTCAACAGTTTCCCAATGGAAGGGTCCTTGCCCCCTACCGATCACGTACATTTTGTGCGAATGCTTGTGTATGGGGTGCGGAGGATTGAAATTTCCGCCGGTCACTAGAACTAGATCCACCCACGTACCATTCTTGGTTTGGGAATGTCAGAGCTTTATTCGTTGCCAATGGCCCGTGAGAATCGAAGAGAACTGGTTCGATGTCTCGAGAGGTGTTCAGGGAAGCTTTCCCGCTGATAGACCATCGAAAGGCCGCGCCGGCAAATCCGATATTGAATTTGTAAGTTGTGTCAGCCTTTGCAGCAGGTTTGGATGGGGGGAATGGAGTGAATTTGGTTTCGTCGAAAGCCACGAAATCTGTTGTCAGGTTAACCCCATTGTAGCCGATGGTGGGTTTACTTGGCTCGCTGGGAGCGCCTTCCTGTTGGCCTGCATATCGAAGGGTTGCAAATCCGCTAAAGAGCTGGTTACTTTCGACATTGGCAACGCGTATCGTGTAGTCTTTACGCGGTTTGTTGAGCTTCACCAGCGCTGAAACTCTACTACCATTTGGGACAGGAGCGCCATCAACAAGAATGGGATCGATGTAAAATCCGTCATAAGCGTATATCCACATTTTATGCTCATCGACGCTTACCATGAACCGGGCAATTGTTGATGAGCTTATAAAATTGAGGCTTATCCACTCGTCATCGGGATCGGCGGTAATGATTTCACGTGGTCCTTCATGCGGCTTGCAATTATAGTAGAGATCTTTGGGGACTTTACTGCGATCAATAGGGAAATCACCCACGACGGCAGGGATATAAAAAGGAAGACAGCTTTAATAAAAGTCAGTATTTCCAATATGCGAAACAAGTTGGTTGTGAGGGACAAACCCTTTGTCCGTTAGATTCTCGTCTTTCAGAAGATTTCTTTGATCCGGTCTGGTCAACTTATTCAATTCGTCTTGTGTCTTGCATATAACCGATCCCTTACCATTGATCAAAACGCTATCAGTGCAGAAGTTGTCGATTCCTGAATCCAGAGAAACCTGGAGATATTCCTTAGACGTCATATGATGCCAATCGGACACAAATATCGTCTTTGGGTTCAACATAGCTTTCCTCATCCTCTCAACTTCTTCTTCCGAATCGGAAATTTTGTGGAAGGGTGCAGGTCGGTCATCTTTTGGACTAATCACAATCGCGCCAAACAGACCATCCGACAACTGGCCGTTGGCATGGCCGTGGTACCAGTAAGTGCCATAATCGACTGCGTTCCAACGGTAGATGAAAGTTTTTCCTGGTTGAATAGCCCTCTGGGAAACATCGGGCACTCCGTCTGACCACGGGGTTCCATGCTGGGATATGCCGTGGAAATGGATGGATGTTTCAAAAGGAAGACTGTTTTTAACGACGATTTCAACCTCATCTCCCTCGGCTATATTGAGTTGAGGTCCGGGGAATTGGTTATTGACCAGAATCACTTTTCGTTCGACTCCATCAGGAGATGCATTTCCCCAAGTGAGCTCAAGTTCGAAATGCCGGACATGAACATAACGTGGCCGACACTGCCCAGCGGAGGCCGCTTGGAGCAAAGTAGTTAAGCACTATAAACAACAAAGGTAAAGACAGAAGCATCGTCTCAACTAAGCTGAGCGAAAACAAATGAAACTATATAGACGAAGTCATGGGGGAAAAAAAGACACTTCTCTTGAAAAAAGCTGAAGGAGCGGGTCAGCCAGTACTTGTAGTAACGGCGCACAGGAAAAGAAATCAGAAAACACTAGCCGCTCTCACCGCTTAATGCAAGGCCCCCAAATAGCAATAACCCTAGGGCGGCTGGATCCCTTTTAATAAGCCCATTTAATACTTGCAGGGCTAGCTAGGCACAAGTACAGCATTCCAGATGCAAGAACGCTCGCATTGTGCGTGTATTATCTGAAGTCAGAAAGGGGATCCGGACCTGGTCCTCAAACCCCACAGCCTTCTACAGTCCGTTAGGCCAGAAAGAAACGAGAATACGCCTGTAGAGCGACCCAGTTTTGCAGTACTGGGGCCAGCACCAGCTTGACACGCTGTTTCCACTGCGTATACATCGAGCGCTGAGCGGAGATCATGCCACCAATTAAACGTGAGATTAACGCACGGCCGGTGGATCTTGAAATTAAAATTCATTTCCTGGCCTGGTTGAGTTCATGGCCCCCGGTTGAGTTCACGAGACATACTGATGTTGCATCGAATCGTGGACTGGATACCGATTGGCTATGGAAATGCTCCGGATATGGATGGCCATCACACCGTATCATACAGATCGTAAAAATGATCACCACAGAGCAGTCTTGTGAATCTTTGGGATTTGATTGAAGAAGAAAGCTGATCCCAGACTGTGCGCCTTAGTGCCGTGTCTAGTGCCGTGTCAAGATTCCAACCGAGGGATGTTCGGGCTGTGTACGAAGGAAGAACAGGTGCTTATGCAGTAGTAAGCGATAAGCGGCTGACTGATCGGTGATCCCTGATCCGCGGCTCCACAGCCTGCCGGCCCCACAGCTTGGCAAGGCAGTCATCATTCGACATCCAGCACAAAGGATGGCACATCATACGCAGTTACACACACAGAGAGACGGAGAGAAAGTGTGTGTATGTGTCTGAGTGAGTGAGGGAGGAGTTGAAAGAATAAAATTAGCCGTCCAATGGGTTGATTACAGTTCAATTCTCGACAATACATCTTTCTTTTTTTTTTATCAAGGAAGTTAAAGATTCCGCGATAGCCATCGCCTTCTACCCACGTCTCCCGGTGACAATGTATAATTTGTACAGGAACGAGGAATTGGTCTCTTGGATGTTCTGCATGGCCAATCTCTCCAGCCGAACAATTTGGTCCATCGGAAGTGCATCGCTGCCTGGACCAGCCTCGGAGGAGGCTGCTTGCAGGACATGCGAGATAACCTTCACATAATTTACGTTCAACACGGCTTTATATTCGGGTTCATCAAGGAACAAAATGTCCTCGGTGCAATCTTTGAGGCCACATTTTTTGAAGTGAGAGTACAGCTCCGTGACGCTCCTATTTCGATTCGAAGGGTTGAAGAAGCATTATATCAGCGTGCGAAATGCGGAGATATCAATGTACCTTCAAACCGCGGATGACTCACTTGCCAGATTTCCCATAATTGCCAATGACTTCTATGAATTTCTCCAAGTAACTCTTTGCATCATCCACGTTACAACCGGGCGTACCAGGCACGATAGAAGAGGCAAACGGTGCAATATCTGTCCATTGTAAGTACCCTCCTGGCCCTGAATATTTTAGTTAGCTTCAAGGAATGACTACATCGGGACAATTTACGGTGGAATCTCACGGAGAATGTTCCCAAGGTTGCGAATTGCACGCTCCCATTCATCGGCCTTCAGACCCATGACCAAGAGCCGGACGTGAACAACGTCGTACTGCCGTAGGAACTCGGCGGGAAATGGTGCCAAGATATCCTGAACATGGTAGTTTATATCTGATGGGAAGCGTGCACTATCTGGGAGTTGTTCCAGCGAGATGTCAAATCCATCAAGCCTGCATGTTTTGGGGAGTTCTTTCTCTAGGTCTCGTAACCAGGCACTATATAATACCAGCGATAGATCAGCACTACCCGCTTCGAACCCTGGCGACTATACTGGGAATTTATCATGCCCTGTCCCCGTTCCAATATCTGCTATACGCATATGGTCATGCCGGGGAATTTCGGGGTGCAGCAGAAAACCCAAATGTGCCTGGAAAGCTTTATGTTGAGAATCAAGTCTGAAATCTATCAGCTTATATGGCCGGCAATTCAAGGAATGGGGGAACAAACCTATCACTTTCTGTGCCTGTTCTTAATAGGATATAGCTCGCAGGTTCCTCATATAAATCCATTGTTTAGGAATAAGTTCCTGAGGTTCTATATTTAGTCATGAAGGTTGATATAGTGAAGTATTAGAGGAACTTATACAGCAGAAGGTTATCAAAAAAGAAGCAAAAGGAAAAACCAAAGGGTATTATTGATATCCGCCAGCAGAACGCTTCGGGATTCGAAAATGTCGACTAGCCTACCTTCGGCCCAGACCCGAAATTGCGCTTAACAAGCTGCATTGGCATCATGTCCATCTAATTCATGTCCTGGATTTTGAAAGGCGGTGATGTATGTAATAATAGAATCCTCCGTTAAATCCACGGGATAGGATTGTCATATGGAAACTGAGCAGTGTTTCCAACAAAGCCTTCTTTGTATGCAGATGTACTGGACATGTACTGTACGCAGAACAAAGGAAGAATAGCTTGCAGGGGCTGTCCACGGCGCATAACCGGCTATCCCAATTTTGAAACCGCAAAACTGCTATGCACTATTGGCAAAGGCCACCTCCGCAGTTCGTCGTATGAGATTTTCTTTGGCATCGGTGTGATGGAGGCAATGCCGAGATTTAGACCAGGTACAGGTCCAAACGTGCAGAGCAGGATCGCTCTGTATTCGCTAAATCCAAACTGCAATTCAGATTGGATATTGATTTTAACTTGGTAATCCCAAAAACCAAATTGCAGGTCTGTTAATCTTGCCAGTTGGAGTATCGATAACCCAAGTTTTTCATCCCAAACATGTAGTGGCCTATATCAAAAAAGCCCCTGCTAAGCGCTCATACTCAGCTCTTAAACAAACTAGGCCCACTTATTACTTGCAATGAATATGTTGGAAGTGGCAAAAAAGTCGCGAGGACTGACAACGGATAGACTCGATGTTAAGGAGAAACATCAAAACTTCATGGGGCGTCATACGGTGAGTGCTCGGCTCAGGAACTTAGCCACCAAGGGTCTAAAGCTGCCATAAAGCTCACTTAATAGAAAGACATCAAAAGCCAACGAGAGTAGGTTCAGTACTCCGTACTCCGTAGAGAGGGAGGCAACAATTGTTGTATGACTGGCGGGTTGATTTTCATCCTACTTAAAACTAAAAAGTCCCTGCCTGTGCCTCGAGAAAAAGCTAGATTCCGCTGGTAATCGGGCCTAGTCGATATTCGGGTTAGCTCCATGCTGGGCACAAATCTCCACACTTGGGGATTTGCAAGGATGCGGCGCTTTTCTTTTCCCAGAGATGGCTCGAACATTCTCAAAATAACCACTAGTTAGCCGCAATGATATTCGTCTTTATATATATAGGAGTGTGATTTTCGCGCTATCATTTGGTTGGAAAGGTGTGCATGCTTCCTCTTCGGGATTTTAGGATTGGAGGATTGATGTCAGATATGTAATCCACCTTTATGGTGAGTTATGTCGAGATACCGAAGGTCCTTGGCGTTACACGTCTCACTCTGGAGATAGGAACCGAGTCTGGTCTGTCATCGTGTAAAGGAAGGAGTTTGGCCAACCCTCATATTCTGGGCCCGGAACACATAGTTTGAACACTGGAAATGATATCGATCGTGCTCCATCGCAAGGCAATTAATTGCTATTGTGGACTCTGTAGTTTTTATTGGAAAGACCCATTGACGTGGAGAGAAATGTGGGACCACAGGGACGTTGTTCTTCCTGGGAAGAAGCCTCGGGATGCATAATAGGTTGATGACATAGGCCTTGCGGAGCTATCTAATACCAATACGAAACATACATTATAGGCGCTCTTTGCAGAGATGACCATGTGTTTTATCGAGTCTTGAAAAAATAAAGAAAAAGAAAATCTTGGAAGAGACTGGAACTCTATATAAGAGGATCCACCCAGCACCAGCAGAAAGTGAGAAAAAGCGTAAAAAAAAAAAAAAAACCTTCTGTATAATGCTTGATCCGTATGTAAAGTTGCTGTACGTGGATACATTAATTAAATCCATAGTTCTTTTCTTTATAGTTTTATAGCAGATAAAAGGAAACGGAAATACAAATGGAGTCTCCATTCGGGTTGGAAATGATGGCCCCTCCCCAAGGATAAATTCCCCCCTACCGAGCCCAATGCATTTGAAATTGTGTTGGCTCATTCCTCGTGGTATCAGGCTGTGCTAATGGGCCATTCGTGCTAGTGCTCGGAACGTTAGGGTAGGAGTTCGCGGGCTGGCGGTGCGATGACGATGAGGAGGATGGGACCCTGGTAGATTCGCTTGAGTTTTTGACTGCTGTCATTTGGTCTGATCCGCCTAGTTCTGGGAGCTCGACCGCGTCGATGATATTGTCTGTGGAGCTGGAAATCGTTTGTAAAGTTTGTGTATGCTTAAGAACAGTGGTGCTCGGCTTTTGTCTGCCAATGCTTCGTGCTGTTCCTCCTCCTATGGTGGGCGGAATATCGTAGCTGCGATCGTGTATTTGGCTGCCATTAGACGTACTCTCGGTTTGGATGTCTCCTTCTAGCAGGTGGCGTCGTGTAATGAAATATAATATGGAGTCAACCCAGCCCGAGCACATCAATAAAGTCCCCGTAGCATAGAAATATGTCATTCCTGGGCTCCGTCCGTTCATTAGACTCATTCGACCGGCGGCGATCGGAAGGGAGATGACAATATAGGCGATTGGATACAAGAACATAACCTTTAGCACCCTATTGAATTTGGGCCGTTTCGTGCCATTTATCCTGAGCTCCTTCGACGATTTTAAGCGTCGGCGGACGATGAAGAATAGAGTTGGGTAGATGATGATGATACCGATTTCGGCAACAAAAATCCAGAAGTAATGTAAATACAGACGCTCCTCTCCATACTGGTTATCAATCCAGCACTAGGTGGAACTGTTAGCAAATCAGGACCCCGACAAAGACAAACGATGGGAAGGAAATCTTACCCAAGCACCAGTCGGTGCATAAATGCGTATCCCGCGAAGGGCTGGACCAATGAGAGTGACAACTATAGAAAATATCCAAACCCCAGTGACAGATCCCACAAAGACGCCGTGCCCAAGAGTTTTTCTTGTGACCACGTTTACGAAAGTATGGACAGCGATAGCAAGGACAAACATGCCACTGGCGATATTTCCAACATTGATCAACCAACCCTGAGCAAAACATGCCGGAGAATAAGTTGACACCATGTCCTTGATGAGCCAGTAAGGAGAGACCATGTTGGCCAACGCTTGATGTAGATCCGCGATTAAAAGGTTGTATATCAGGACAATGAATTG